GGTTAAGATGTGGTTCTTATCACCTGGAAGGATGCCACCTTCACTCACAGGAAGTAGTTAACCACTCAATTTAAATGCAGAGCTAGAATCTTGAAAACATTAAACTAAAAAAAAATAAGTAGAGGGTTTGTTTTAAAATATTGCATAGTATTTACTAGTAGTTTCTTTTAGAAACATAAATATGAAGAAAAAAATGAACAAAAGTGGTCCATAGTCCCTCTTATAATGTGCACTCTGACTTACTGCTTGCTGATCGTGCAGAATGCCATACCACAACTTCACAGAGGGAGGGATGGTGAAAATTCACAGAAATTTAAAGTTTTAGATTTTTCTTTTCATTTCAAATTTGGTGCTTAAGACAAAAATGTAGAACTAATAGACAAAAGTAATAGATTCAGTGTCTGGAAATAAGTGTGCTAGGATTTTAATCTATTGTGATGAATACCAAAAAAATTTTCATCTTTTCTATCTCTAGTTAAGGACAGATACAGTAGAGTGAAGTTGTATTGAAAAAGAAATAAAAGTAGTGAAACATTCTAATGTTTATCTAAGGCAGATTACTAGTGGATCTCTAAGACAGAAGTACTCTACTATCATGATTTGAGAACAGAGACAAATAAAAATTCCTACCTACCTACCAACTTACTGATATTCAAGGACACCTGAAATAATATTCTTACACCTCAGTGGTCTCCTCCATATATCCAAAGCTAGGAGTGCCTCAGCAAATGATAAGGACACTCAGAGATGGCCTCAAATGAGGGCAAAGACAGCCTCCTTTTGCAACCCCAGTAGTGAAAGGTTAGTGTAATGAAAATCAGATGAATCTACAAGAGAAGTTCTAGCAATTCACAGGCTGCTCTGTCTTCAGCAGTTAAGTCACATCCTCATGGAATGTTAGCTCCTCTATTAGGGTAAGCAGGAGAAAACTTAAAACAAGCAACTCTCAGTTTACAGGGTGGGAGATTAGTCTGCAGCAAACATGAAACTCGAGAACACTGTGGAAAATGACTCCCACTTACCGTGCCATCATTTTGCCGAAAAGGGTGACATAGAGGGCATTGCAGGTGGCAGCACAACGACAGTGTCGTTCTAGCTTCTTCTCCTGCAGCAAAACAAGAAGACAAAACACAGAAACCCCTGTAGTTAAGCAGTCACCACTACTGAGCTGTGGCAAATATCCCAGCAGAAACAGTGCTGTTCTTGCCTCTCCTGTGTCCCTGCGCCGTGTCTGGGGATTCCGGCCACTTTCAGGCCACCCACCCCTGCAGCCAGCAGGTCCCGCCAATGTGGAAACCTGCTTAATGTTACACAGTACACTTAAGCCCCAAGTCCTTTTACTGCTTCTTCTATATCTGCCATAAAGAGGGAATGCATTCATCAAGGTAATTACTAAAGTCCAATTTTCCTTGTAACAACAGAGCTACTGTATTGAATTTTACATCATGTATTTTATAGGAAAGTAGATAGTGAAGATAGCATCAAAATTAAAAATATTTACCTGCTCTTTACTCAATTTAATGTCTACTGAATGGCATTCTGCAATTATAATAGATTTTGCATCTTTCGGATTTAAGGGATCGAGATGAAGTGTAGGCCACAACCTTTTGTTTAAAGAAAAGAAAAATGAAATTCTAATAATACAGAAGGACTGTAATCTACCTATAAGATAAATACACTCCAGGAATTAATTTTTTATACTGACTTTATAAAGATAAGTAAAGCTAATCTCCACTGATCATATTAATTATCAGTTTATTCTAATGTGTATTATTTTTGTCACCAATTAATCACAAGACTGCTACAAATTAAACAGCATATACATTAGGCAGCTAAGTGGTAGAGTATTTCTAGCTATATGTTCTGTATTCAGTAAAATTAAACATAAGCATTGGTACTTAGGAGGAATGGTACAAGACAGTCTTTGCCCACTAGTATTTACAGTGTAATTAAAGTTTAATATAGTGCAATTAAAGTTTAATTATTACAATATGCATTCTCAACGCAGTAGCAAAAAACATTTCTTGGGCGGCTGAAAAAATATTACTCTTATGTATAAAGCACAAATATACTCATATCTGTTTATATATGTAAATTGATATTCAAAGTATGAGTAGTATTAAGTTCCTTTAGGGAAGTCTGATTAGAAAAAAATGTCCAACATGCTTCTAAGGTAGTAAAAAACAGATTAAAAAACACTGTCCTACAAGCACATCTACAATCCCAGCACTCAGGAAGCTGAGGGAGGAGGAGATCTCTGAGTTCAAGGCCAGCCTGGGTGGGCTACATGGTGAGTTCAAAGCCAGTGTGAACTACACAGCAACACCCTGTCTCAAAAAACCAAAAATAACAACAACAAACAAACAAAAAAACACTACCCTATAGATTTCAACCCTTGTATCACTTTTTTGAGGGCTGTTGATGTGAGCTTACATTTCAAGTTAACGGGTGTCTAGACTACTGTTCCCAGGCTGCACCCTCTCCCTCTTCCACCCTTGTTTTTCTCACCCATAAATTCAACTGCCCACTAGGCTTAGTTCCCTAGATCTATAATTGGCAACTAAAAATAACCAAATTCAAATGCTGAACTTAACACCTTTCCCCTACACACCTGTCTGTCCTTTGGGTTTCTTATTTCAGCTCATGAAATCACAATTAGTTCAGTTCTGAATGTTAGCAACTTGGGGGCATTAGCCTAGCTTTCTCCTTTTCCCTTACATCTCAGACCTAACCTCTCACCATATCCTAAAGGTTGTTATCACTTTCTTGAACTCATTCATTTATCCTCATCATCAGTGCCTTTTGTATGAAAAACACAAACGTTTATCAAAAACCTTCTTGTTTGCCCTCCAAACATTTTATGTAGTCTGCAGGAACTCAAGTGAGCACTGTACCTCCAGGCAGCAGGGCAAGTTTCCACATTCACAGAGACAATCACTCTGACATTCACGGGCAGTGGATCTATGAGCCATTTCATGTGTTTTTCAACTTGCTTAAAAATATAAATACAAAAGTCAATCTATTAGTCAATATATTTCAAAACAATCTAATAAGACCTCCCTCAATTAAAATGAAATTTTCAGTTTCCCTTATTATGGATCAAAATCTTATTTTTAGATGATTTATCTTAGGCTCTAAAAGAATTAAGTGGCAAAACACTACTATCACCAATTTGAATTTGGGACACTTAAGGAAATGTCAAAGTCCTAAAAATGTATCAAGTACTTTTTGCCAATTATGTAAATTCAGTTGGTCTTTCCCAATAAGATACTAGTGTCTACTGGAATATAGTACTTTAAAAAAATTTCCACATGCTTCCTTTCTAGAAATTAAGCAGAAATGAAAGAAACTGCATCAATGCTTTTTCCCACAAGGGTATGACTTAAGTAGCTACTAGAGTACAACGACACATGACAAAGTGACAACCATACCTGAACTTGATCTATAGAATCAATGATGATGATGATGCTGCCTTGATGGCGAGCAGAGAGTTTTTCCAGCCAATGTGGAAATTCTTCCAGCAGCTTAGCAGGATCAAGCGTCAGAGCAGACACTGACCAGGAGTGCTGCATCAACTGCGAGATGACAACAAACACGAATCACAGTAGTCACACTTTGTCCCATCTGGTGAGAAACACTTTTAGCCCTACTTTTTAAATCAAAATTGAGTCCCCAAGAGGATATGATAATACCAACTATTTGTAATCTTATACAAAACCAATACAAATGACTATGGGTTGAGTATCCCTTATCTGAAATCCTTGGCAGCAAAGGTAGGTAAATAAGATTTTTTCAGACTTTGGAATATCTGCACATGCATAAAGAGAGACCCTGGGAATGGAACCCAAATCTAAAGATGAAACTCAAATATCTTTCATATTCACCTTCTCACATAGCCTAAAGGTTCCTGTATAGTATTTTTAGTGTGGCTGCATCACTGCCCTAAAGGGTCAATGTAGAATTTCCCATTTGTGCTGTCAGGTAAGTAAGTGCTCAGAAAGTTCCAGGTCTTAGAGCAGTTCAGATTTCAGATTGGGATGCTCAACTTGTAATAATGAACATTTATTACTAATACTTTGTCCCAACAATTTCTCAATTTAAATAAAATTCAGAAAATTCCAAAAGGCGGTGCGCTATACCTTTAGAGTCAGCCGTTTAATAATCAAGGAGGATTCTGAGCTGGTTGACATGGGCCTCCCCACAAAATGAGAAAGAATCAGCATGTTAGGGGAACTCTTCTGCTGCAACTGAATCCTGAAAGAAAAACACAGGACTTTTACAAGACTGACTATGCTCCTTTAGCTTAAAAAAAAAAAAAAATTCACAATGAATTAAATGCTTCTTGTCAGCAATTACATGGTTAGTCACTTTTGAATAAATACGGAGATTTGATTTTACTCCATTTTCAGAATTTTTTTAAAATAAACTTTTAAAAGCATAGATTCATTTAATTACAAATTGGTGTTAATGTACTCTAGTTTATACTGGAGATGAAGGTATTAGTAAAAGAAGCATTAACTTTTCATTTAAAATATATGATTAGAAAATTTATTAGATATAAAAATACTATTTTCTAAGTATATTTTTAAAAGGGCAATAAACAGGGAACAATGCCCTATACCAGCGATGGCAAACCTTTTAGAGCTTTGAACGATATAAACATCCTGTTGTAGCATGCATGCCATAGGCTTGCCACCACTGACCTAAACTAACTAGTCAATGTAAGTAATTATGAATTAAAAATATTCTTACAACTTGTTTTTACATAACAAAAATAAAAGTTTATTAGTTCATATGAACTTTTTTTTTTTAATCTTTTTTTTTTGGTACTGGGGATTGAACTCGGGACCTTGTGCTTGCGAGGCAGGCAGCGGCACCACTGAGCTAAATCCCTGGCCCTAGTTTATATGAACTTTAGTCTATAATCTGAAGAAGTAAATTGACATTCATAGTTAAGATTAACCTTAATTTTGATTTTTTTTAGAATCTGTTTTACTCTTTGTATTGTTTTAAATATTTAAAATCTCACTGAAACTTTTAAGACGAAGTCAATAATTGGGAATAAAAGTGCATCCCTCTAATTAATTCCATGCCACACTGACCACTCCCTTAGATGGCACTCTTGGGTCTCTTATCTACACAACAGTGAATGTTCAGAGTTTCTGCTCCTTTCTCATTCTCTATCTTCTCTCTGACATCTAAATTCTACACACTTCTGGGCATGAACCCATCAATTTACTCCTCTGTGCATTTTTTTAATGTTTAGTACAGGCCATGCAGGAAGGCAGACATGCAATACATCGTGGGAAGGACTTCAATAATTCAAACCATGAGGATGATAAAATGACTTAACCATACTCATCATACCACTTGGATAAAAGAAGGGACTTTCCAGAACCTGGTCCTCCAGACACCAGAAGGGGTGGAATCGGGGCTGGTGCTGCCACTAGATCATTAAGGCGTTGATAATACTGGAAATAAAAATTAATTTAAGTCCTGAGGAAGCACATGTCTCTCAGAATAATAAAGACAGTCACTTCTGCTGGTCCTCTGACAAAACTGGAGAAAAGCTGCAGGAGAAAACAAACTCCACTATTAGTCCACAGCGCCTTCATGACTGCTTATTTTGATGCCTGATGAAATACAGTAGAGGCCGTAAACTAGACATAGGCCCCAATTTCTTCTCCAACAGCGGTGCTGTAAATTAATGGTGAAGGACAACACTTCAGATCCCTGTGGGCTTCTGCAACATTCAGAATGCTCCAAAAGGGTAACAATATTAAAGTGGAGCCCTGAACCACAGGAAGTGCTGCAAAAGGACTTGGGGGCCCTGGCAGGCATCCTAGATCTCCTACTCAGAAGAACATTTGTCATGGAGACCGCCTTAATTTATAAAGGTTCTTCTGTGCCCTTCGGGGATCCCAATCTGCTCCAGAGAATCAGGTGAGGAAAGGTTGTCCAGGCTCAAAGTTGTGTTCCTCCTGCCTCAGCTTCCCAGAGTGCAAGGATTATAGGCATGTGCCACAACACCACCTTGTGGCTAGCTTTAAAGCAGCCAAATTCTCCACCAACTCTAAGAAATGATTATTTGGAACAGTGTTTCAATTCATTTTTCTGCTTATCATATCTAGATACTGTAGAGAATAACTTGCCCAGGAACTCAAATAATTCTGATGGCAGTGATGCCTCTGAAGGAACAAAGGAAGGACTTCACTGATACATCACTTCATAAGTCCTAAAAACTTAACTCCTGGTCCACACAAAGTCCACTTACAGATCTATAATTCCCAAGTTAAGATCCCTTGATGTGGAAGAAAAAGCACAGTATTTGGAGCCAAATGACCAGTGTTCAAATCCCAGATCCATATAGTCTATTCTCTGTGTGTTCTTGGGCAGACCATAATCCAAACATCACAGATAAAGTTCTCTGATAAAATAACTACTAATTTAATGGTTCTTCTGTGTCAGGTACTGTGCTAAGAGCTTCATGCGCATCATCTCCCTTAATCCTCCCATACTCTGCCAAATCCTTACAAGGTAGGTACTAATATGTTAGAGAAGAAAGTCAAATTTAGAGTAGCTAAGTGATCTGATCAAAACCCAGTTATAAAATGACAGAATCAGGACATGAACACAGTCTAAATTATTAAAGTTCTATAATAATACAACTGTTAATGTTAGCTTCCTTAATATTCTTTAAAACATTAGTTATTACAGTAACTTTGTAATATTAAATATTTCTTTGTATGCATCAAGATCTGTTAATTTGCTTAGATATTTAGGGATGCTTGGTAGATCAATAAAAGACTGATCTGCCTATTATATGTTTTCTGAATGCTTGAGACTTTGGTTCTTTTAAATGGGAAGAATAGACAGTCTTATGATTCTTACCAAGCTTCCTAGCTAACCTAACTCTGGTCTGAGTGAGTTGCAGATGATGGCACAATGTACCTATGGTTGACAAATCCTAACCTATAACCAAAGTGCTTGTGGCCAGAAGTATACTTGACTCTCACTTATCTTTCATATGATACAAATGCATGCACATCTCGACATGGACAATTAAGCTCTAAGAGCAGACAAAACAATCATAAATCTCAACTATCCTTAGGTGAAAACACAAGCACCATACAGCCTGTAAGTGCTGACTGGTATTTGTTAGAACAATACAGTAATCCAAAAGCTTACTTTCTCAAATCCCAACTCATGGGCTGAATTAGAGGCCTGCTGAAAAGCTTCCATTTGTTCTTGCTCATCATGTATGTCCCACAGAACATCCCCCAAATCATCCTCTTCTGGAATGGACTCTTCAGTGCCCAAATCCTTAGTATCCAGGTCTGTGTTCTCAAAGCCCAGAATGTCCTGAACACCCAAGAATAAGCACACAAAAGTGAATGAAGAAAAGAGACCATGGGGTACAGGTTAGCACACAAGTCCAAACCTATTACCTATATATGATATGTATACAAATAAAATTTTAACTACAAAAATACTCATTTAAAAATAAAGGCAAATAATAGTAAAATATAAACAAAGATTTTTTACTCAAAATAAAACTAAAGGGATATTTGACTCATTTGGGATTTGTTGTCTGAAAAAAGCTACACAGTATCTGTGGTTTTATCTGGGTATTGAATAATCGTAAAGTTTGTGCTGACAGTGAAGAAATACGCCATAAAAATTTAATTACTAACATGGAGTTTCTTGATAGCAAGTATCTTTGCTGTCATACTTAGTCTTAAATATATTAAATCACTGAATATATGTTGTTCATTAAGCATTAAAGATGGTAAATATGACCAGTTTCATTTTGCTGAACTCATTTTACTTATCTTGGTCCTAAAATTGGCAAGACTGTTGTAAAGATCGAAGTTGATAATGACAGTTTTTCTACCAGAGAGCACTGTACAAAATATGTTGCCAGATGTTGTATCATGTTTTGGGCTCACTGTTTTACTATGATAATAAACTGCCTCTCTGTAATCTAACCCCTTACTTCTCAAATAAGAACCTTCATTCTCGGCGGGGGAGGCATCAGTCCAGATGAGCAAGCACAGGCTACACATGACACGTCTTCCTACTGTGCTCATTTTACGTGAATGAACACGGGGATGGGTTTCTTGTTTTTGTCATAGCTATTACTATTTTGCTGATACATAATTTTGACAATGATATATATTAAAAATAAACACAGCCATGTCAAGCAGAATATATGATGCACATACATTTTTGAGATAATAAATGAGACTTCATAGAAGCTTTCAGTTCTATATACCTCCGTGGTCCATGCTCATCCTCTTGGAGATATGTTTCCATCCCTCTCTGCTGTTAGGGATATATAGTGAGATAATTCGAGCAGGACTTTTCTAATACATGAATGGCCAAAGTGCACATTGAATCTGAGAGCCTCTCTATTGAGTAAAATGCACATTTTTCCTGATCACATCACAGGATGGACTCCCAACAGAAACAACGGTGTTCTCCTCAGGTATTGCTCGCTCTCAAAAGAATAGGTGGTTTTCTCTGGAAAAGTCAATTTTATGGAAAATGGTCTTAAAATATCTTAGGTGAAATCTTACAAGAGACACATATTTACCTGTTTAATAATCTTTTCCACACAAATGTAAGTTTTATATACTCCTTCTGCATGATCTCCTGAATGATCAATGATCTGGGAAAAATACAAAGTTTTACAATAACAAGAAAACACAGTAACAGCAGGAGGAGCAGGTGGTAGTGGTAAACAACTTTAGAGTGCTTATGTGTCGCAACCATTCTAGCTCTTGGCATATATAAGCTCACTTATCCTCATAGCTACCTTATGAGGGAGATGCTATCACTGCCCCCAGTTTACAGAAGATGAAACTGAGACAAGTAATGTAACTTTGCCAAGCTCACACAAGTGATTTAGTGTGAACAATGGTACAAACGAGCAAAAAGATTTCATCTTTTTGTCCTATCTTATCATCTCTGCTACAGTGGCTCTGGTCTGGGCCTCCAGCCTCTCACCATGATGGCTGCAATAGCGCTCAGACTCTGTCCATGACTCTCCAGACTACAGTCTTCCTCTACACAGCAGCCAAAGAGATCACTGTTACAGGATCATGTTAGGCCCTGTCATTCTGCTTAAAGTCTTCCTGTGGCTCCTCAACTCACTTCAAGGGGAAAAAAATCCTTATAGCATCTCTGAGGTTCTGCAGGACCTCCTGCTACTGCCCTTACTCACTGTGGTCCAGGCCCTTGGGTTCCTTCCCCTACCAAGCACCCAGGCTCAGATACAGCTCAGGGCCTTTGCTCTAGCTCTTGCCTCTGCTATGCATGTTCTTAAAAGAAAAATCCTGGGAATTTTACCTTGGCTTTGTTGGCCTTGTTGAGGTTACACACTTGACCAATCAATTGCTGCACAGAGTCGGAACTGACTTTCCCATCCTCCAAACGATGATAAATTAATCGTGGTTTTCCTTCAGGGTTTTTCAGAAAAGCTTCTTCACAGTCTTCCAACAAAAGGCTAGAATGGAAATTGGCATCTCTTGTGCTACAATGCAGTTAGTCAAGCAACCTAAGAGCCAATCCTGGGGTTTTATGACAATGACAAGTGTCCAGGAAAGGCTCAGCTGCAGAACAAGTGATGTTCTCCTAAAAGGGATAATTTTAGTAGCTCTTTTCTGACCTGAGTCCTTACACCCAATATCTACTACAAGAAAGACCTGAGGGTCACTAGGGAAGCTCAAATGGCTAGCAAACAATTTGCAGTAAAGGTTTTAAAAAAGTTAAAACTTTGCTACAGGGAACCATAATTATAATTTTTACAAATGTTCTTGAAAAATCTTAGAACTAATAATCTACTGGGTTTTTCTACACCACGGGAGCATTGCAACCAATTTCCCTTACAAGGAACCTTAAATGAAAGTTGTCTAGAGAGGTAAATTTGAGTATGTATATTATTACATGATTCAAAATTTCTAAATTGAAGTACTAACCCCAAAGACAAAGGAAGAAAATGATTAGATATATCAGTGATGATCCCATCTGTCCAATCCACAGATCTTGTCCATGTTATACTTATCCTGACCATGTTCTACAGAAGTTTGCAATTTCAATGGTCCATTCGAGATTGCTTTGAGAGAAGAGAGTGGACCTTCTGTTCAGACCTATGTTTGTTTTTCAAAACCATACCCTACAAAATTGATACACAGGGCTCAGAAGAAATGATGTGGTTCTCTGGAGCTTGAACCAAATACTCTAGTAGAAGGGAAGTGCATAGGTTAAATAAAAAGGTCCAGAGTTAATAATGATGAAGTCAGAGAACATGGCAGCCATGCTGACAATGTGACCTGTGGGATCCAGTCAGAAAGTGGCTTGAGTGGACAAACGTGGAGGAGGAGCTACTGGGGAAATGCCACTATGTGAGACTGGAGGAAAAACTGAAATAGTGGGGCTGACAGTAATGAAGAAAGTTCAACCAGAGACCAAGAGCTCCCACTTAACTAAAGTCTATGAGGAAACTGTACTGGAATCCAGTAAAAAAGAAATGAAGAAAACCAAAAATAATGCCTAAGAAATCTCCAATGATGACACAATTACCTTCTGGGCACTGATGGCTTCCCAAGAGGGAGCTCTTCTACCTTGAAGAAAGACAGGTGATTCTCTGAAGAAAACCAGTTGCAGCTGCCCCTCTGTGCTGCCAAGACCAGAGACTGCCATCTGAAGGGAGAAGCTGCCTTCTCTCCTCTTCAGGATCAAGCATTCTCAGTAAGCCTGGATGCTCAGTAAGGGTTCTGACATGATGAAAGAAGGCCAATCAAGAGCAAAGAATGTCCTATTTTGAGACTTTCATCTGAAATATTCCCACTTAGCCAGTCTCTCCTAGACACTCTGTATTTCAGTCTGCATCCTTCATTATAAGATTTCTCCTGATTCTGCCATGCAGATTAAATACGTAAAAGAAGAGCACTTGGACAAGCAGTGGCAGTCCAATTTCTTCTCTTCTACTGTACCTTCTCTGCAGAATGATGGTAGAGAAGCACAGCCTGTGTTCCTCACTAAGTATGACCTCCTACCTATTTTCCCCTCCTACAAGTAACCATGATCCTTGCAAAGATTGCTCCAAATCCAATCATTTCATAACTCAAAGATCACAAATTTTTAACTGCAGGATTTCTTATATTTGGAGTGAATTAAGTGTCAAAGAGTTTCTTTAAGAAACTCTGTGGGTTCCATCTGCATATAAAGAATAACTTGATCAGGAAAGTGTCTCTCCATAAAGCTCTCAAGTTGTTTGGGGGCAATTTTTCTAGCTTCATCTTTTGGGAAAGATGGGGGAGCCATCAGGAGAGGTAAGAAGAAACCTGAGAGAAATAAAGGCCCCAACAACAAAGGCCCATCTCTCCTGCCACACTTCTTGACATCAATGAAAGAAACAAATGATAAGATAACAAAATAAAATACGAAGGAAATGGGAGGAGAAACATTAAGAAAAGTTTAAAATGAAGAAGGCAAAAATAAAAGTTAAAAATGTCAAAATAATGTGCAATATTTTATTAACAAATACATTTCTTTTTCCTTTTCTTTTTTTCTTTCTTTTTTGGTACTGGGAATTGAACTTAGGGCCTCATGTTTGTCAGGCAGGTGCTGTGCCACTGAGCTACATCCCTGGCCCAAAATACATTTTTTTTTTAGGTAAAGAAAAAACAAGATGGCTTCAAAGACTAAAGATAAAAACTAAAAAGATGATGTTGTAACCAAGGGCATATTGTCAAGTAAGATAAAATACTACCTAAATATTAACCAATAAAACAAGATGTATCCGTAGCAAATATAAAAACAGGAAGAAAAGGAAATGAAATGGAAAAGAAAATTAGACTCAACTGAAGATGTTATGGCTTGTGTCTAGATACTTCCCCAAAGCTTCACAAACTCATAGGTGGGGCTTTTTCAGAGGTGGCTGAACCTAGAGTTTGTTGACTGATTCACATAGTGCAATGCTAGGATTAAGGGTGGGTGGGTGATTACTAAATCAGTCCACTGATTGGTTTGGCACTGCCCTAATCCCTGGTAGCATGGATACAATATACGGGACAATATAAGAAGGAGGCTTGTCTTGTTTCTTGCTTGCTTGCTTTGCTACCTTCTGTCTGCCATGAACTGCTTCTGTGATGCCTGTCTGCCATGCCACCTTGCCTTGGACTGAAACCTAACTGTGAGCCAAATAAAATTTTCCTTCTTTAACTTTGGACATTGGGCATTTTGTCTCAGCAATGAGAAAAGTAACTAAGACAGAAGGCAATCAAGTTGAAGGGCTCCCTAGGCCTAGACACACTCTGGGTGAAGTCTCACTGCCAGTTGGTGCCTAGCCCACCTGCACAAAGGGTGGAGTCTTAAGGATCAATGATGGCTGACAATGCAGGAAAACTAGTGAAACAACATAAGGCCTACTCTGTACACTGTTGAAGTCAGAGTTGGTCCACAAGTCAAAAAGAGAAATGCTTTGAAAGGGTTAAATCCAATTAGACCAAAATCTAGAAAGAAAAAGTAATCTCTTCTTAAGCTTAGTTTTTCTTTTATATATCTAACTGGTTAAAAATCTTTATTTGCAGAAAGATTCATCAGCATGCTATACACACACTGTATTAATTGAACAATTGAGCAATTTCAACAACTGAAAATTGTTCGTTTTATTGGGTGTCAGTAATAAGCTCCTCACACCATTATAGATTATAAGCCGGTTCCACCGCCTGCCTCGCAAGTGCAAGGTCCTGAGTTCGATCCCTGGTACCAAAAAAAAAAAAAAAAAAAAAGATTGTGGTTTAACACCTATGTCAGTGTTCAAGTATATATGTAACATATAAAGTTCATATACAGTGGTACCTCAGTTTATGAACATAATTCTTCCCACAATTGTGGTCACAGAATTCATTCCACAATACTAACTTGCAACCAGTATCATGGAATGAATTGTGTGACCAGAATCATGAAAAGGATTAAGTTCGTGAACCAAGGTACCACTGTACTCCAATTCTATCCAAAGAAAGAAAACATGAAGGTTAATATTGATTATGGAGGCTCCCAGCGTAGAGGAAGGGGCCTCCCAGCTGACATTCCACCGCTCCCAGAGGAGAGGAAGGGGCTTCCGGGCCGCCGTTCCACTGCTCCCACTGCAGAGGAAGGGGCTTCCTGGCTGCAGTACCACCGCTCCCAGTGCAGAGGCAAGGGCTTCTGGGCTGCCACACCACCACTCCCAGTACAGAGGTAGGGGCATCCGGACTACTGTACCACTGCTCCCAGTGCAGAGGTAGGGGGCTCCAGGCCACCATTCCACTACTCCCAGCCCAGAGAAAGGGGCTTCTGGGCTACCATTCCACTGCTCCCAGCATAGAGGAAGGGGCCTCTGGGCCGCTGTTCTACTGCTCTCAGCACAGAGGAAGGGGGTTCTGGGCTGCCGTACCACCGCTCCCTGTGCAGAGGTAGGGCCTCCGGGCCGCTGTTCCACTGCTCCCAGTGCAGAGGTAGGGGCATCTGGGCTGCTGCACCATCGCTCCCAGCGCAGAGGTAGGGGCCTCCGGGCCACCATTCCACTGCTCCAAGCCTAGAGGAAGGGGCTTCTGGGCCGCCATTCCACCGCTCCCAGTGAAGAGGAAGGGGCCACTGGGCCTCCGTTCCACAGTTCCCAGCACAGAGAAAGGGGCTTCTGGGCTGCCGTACCACCATTCCCTGTGCAGAGGTAGGGGCCTCTGGGCCACCGTTCCACCGCTCCCAGTGTAGAGGAAGAGGCTTCCAGGCCACCGTACCACCGCTCCCAGCACAGAGAAGGTGAGGCACATGGATGCCAACAACACCTCCCCCCCATCGAAATGAGAAGACACGGAAATAAGTCTCAAAGCCAGACTTCCAGATCACCTACAACAACCCCAAAGGGAAATGAGTCTCCCTGAAATGTCAATGAAAGAAGATCTGGAAAAAATGAAATCAGAAATAATTTCTCAGATAACAGCAGAGATTTTGCTAATAGTGGAAGACATGATTGATAAATCCAGAGAGGAGCTGAGGAACATGATGGAATCCCAACATAAGAAACAAATGGAATCCATAAAACAGATACAAACAGATTTCCAGGAGATTAAAAACTCCGCTGAAAGTCTACACAGCAGAATGAGCCAATGTGAGGACAGAATTTCAGATATAGAAAATAAGATGGCAATTAGTGACCAGGTAAAGAAAAATTACTTCAAAATTGTAAGGGACCACGCGAAATCAATCCAGCAGCTGCTAGATGATGCAAAGAAGAACAACATAAGACTGGAGTCAATGAAAAACAGGAGAGAGTGCAGATGACATAAAAGAACTGTTCACAGAAGTAACGGCAGGAAACTTCCCAAGCAGGGGAAAAGAATCTGACGTACAGATAAGTGAGGCATACAGACTGCAACTAGCCATGGTCAAAAAAAATCTACACATAGGCATATAATTGTTAAGATTACAGAAACTCAACAGAAGAACAAAGTTCTACAA